AAGTGCCCGCCTGGTTATTTTTGGCACCTCTTCTGCCCAAAGCCAGCAAGGAAAGGCAGCTGCTAGCAACATGGAAGGGCTGTTTATGCTCCAGCGTGCAAGCACTGAGGCGGGGACAGAAAGAGCACCGTGCAGCGGAGGCCTCGGCCCCCTTTCTTCCTCTCCCGACTGTCCCCATAAGGTCCCATCTGCCTATCACATAGTTGACATAGCATGGGTACTTCTGCTTTCACTCAGATCCAGTCTCCCAACCACGAAACACACACACACACACACACACGCACGCAGACACACATGCAGGCACGCACACACACACACAAATAAATGAGCAGGGAGCCAGCAGCCAGCCGGGGACTGAGCCACACCCAGGAGCAGCAGATGACTCCTCCGGGCAGCCGTCCCACCTTCCAAACTGGAGGGACAGGGACCGGGGGCAAGACGCTGGAGCAGCTCCTCTTTCCACCCGCCTCAGGTGAAAGTGGACGCAGAGGGGAACCTCAAGCAACTCACTGTCTCTGCACTTCCCCAACTGAAAACGAAAGAGTGGGATTCCATGTCCCACAGTGTCTTCCAGCTCTGGCATGACTCCTGGGAGCTGGGGAGCCCAGGACTGTGACCCAGGGCCAGCAGCGGAGGTCAGACACAGCAAGGTCAGGTGGGGAGGAGGAGCTGAGCAGTAGTCAGGTACATTCCCCAGGAGCTGCCAGAAGGCTGCGGGGGGGGGGGGGGGGGTGCGGGGCAGGACCAGGGACAGGAGGAAGAGGAGGTAGGAGAGAAGAAAGGGGGGAGAAAAGCCAGCCTACATGCACTCTCAAGAGTTGCCAGTTATCACTTAAGCTTTTCTGAGCTTTCTGAGCTCGGGGGCCCTCCCCCTCAAGGAACTGACAAATTCCGGCAACAGCAGGCTGGATTGGGCCTCTGTCTGTCCAACTGCTGGAAAAAGCTGGGAATCGAAATCCCTCACCGTCTTCCTTCTTCTCCGGACCCCATTTCCCCAGAGAAGTTGGGCAGCCTCACAGGGAACCCCCTTCTGGCTGCAAGCCTGGTATCCTTCCCCCTCTCCAAGCTCTGGCCTGGTCAAATCTTGCCCTGGCTGCTCCCCTCCCCCCCCCCTTCCTGAGACTCCTGGAGGAAGAAGCACAGCCTGGAAAAAATAACCCACAAGCTCCCCACAAGCGGCTGGGGAGAAAGGCAGAGGGAACATGGAGCACCTTCCCCAGCTGGCCACAGCACTGGGCTATGTTCCAGGAAGAGCAAAAGCAAGAAGGGCTGCCAGGGAAGCCTCAGGCCCCCAGCCCCTCTCTTCCCCACCAGCTCCCCACTCCCCTGGCAAACCACAGCCGGTAATCGAGTCCCTCAGGGAGACCCGCCACCCCCACCCTAGCAAAAACCTAGCTCTTTTTTGACATGTGGCAACTTTCTTCTTATATAATATCTCGATGTCTCCCCCACCCCCCTACCCCACTCCACCCTGCTATTTCAATTGGTGAAAGAGCCAAAGTGCTCTTTAGAGGGACAACTCCCACCCTCAGCTCCACCCAAGCCTCCACTGAAGTCACACTGGGAGGCTTCAGGTGAAAAAAGACAAGGGGACTTTTTCCGTGGCTGAGAAAGCAGCCTTCCTCCCACCCACGTTAGCAGTTCAGCCTGAGGCTTGGGCGGGTAGATTCCCGAGAGCACAATCTGATCTCTGGGAAGTTGAGCCCTTAACTCTGGGCTGCAGGGACAGAATCCCTTGCAAAAGTAAATAGGCACCAGAATCTGGGCCCATCTAGGTGGACGAGGATCACACAGCTCTACCTGGGGCCTAGGGAGTTATAAAAGGAGCTTCATTCACACAGGCCCCAATGCCCTGGAGGAGCACCCTCCTACCATAGCAGGACATGCTTCATTTCCTCTTCCCTGGGAAGAGGGTGAACAGGTGAACTTGGGAGGGACCAGTGGAATGATAGCCACCATCTGTTGAGTACCTACTATGCACCACTTTGCATGCATGATCTTGTTTAACCTGCACAGCAACCCTACGAAGTACTATTATCATCCTCATTTTACAGGTGAGGAAACTGAGGCTCAGGAAGTTAAGCAATGCCCAAAGCCACACAGGAAGTAGAGAAGCTGGAGTAGGAACCCCAGGTCTGCCCAGTCCTCGTTCCTGTGCACCTACTGAGCTTCTTTCATAGTCACTGCCCGGGTTACTGTCCACACACCATCCTGGAATGGTGTTCTGAGTGTGGGGGCGGAACTGGGTGTGGCCAAAAACTGTTCTCACTCCCAAGTGTGTGGCTGTGAGAGCCCCTGTAAGTGTGCGTGTGTTGGGGTAGAGGGAGGGTGATCTGGATTCCAAATAGCAGTTTCTAACACCAAAGTTATGCGGTAATGCCTCTGATTCATAAAATGAGCTCACAGTCTCAGGGTATCCTGAATGTTGTCTCGAATGCAAATGCAGATCCCTTAAGTAAGACCAGGGGATTTCAGGTCCACCTAGCTCCAGCCCTGTGTGCAGTTCATTTAGTTCAGCCGCACAGAGTCACTGCTCCACTGGGCAGGAGCATCCCCTCCATTGGAATGCAACCCCTGGCTGCATTTCCTGCAGCCTATGGTGAGTCAGGGAAGAATGAAGCCCCCTAGGCTGCTTCTATACTGATACACGCGTGCATACACACATGCACACACACACACAGAAAGGATGCCAATTTGGCCTGGCCAAAGGAAATGCCCAGGTTAGCGGATTCCCAGGCAGGAGGCTTCACACTCTTCCACCCCGAGGTCCCTCTGGGGTCAGAACGATCAGACATACTCTCCAGCTCTCTGGAAGGTGAGCTGTAGTGCAGGGCCAAGAAACTGCATTCGCCGGCACCAGACTCACTCGTGGACTGACCCTCTTGAAACCAATGGTGTGTTATGAATCCCAGCATCGGGACTCACTGGGCCCACCCCACACAAGCCCTCATTTTTCTCATGGAGATCTTTCATTCATTTTTCAACTAACATACACTAAACACCTACTAGAAGCCAGGCATTGTGAGAACAATACAGAACATACACTAGGGCAGAGGTTATGGTCAACCCGAAATGGACTTTCGGCGTTTCACGTACAGAAACTTCACTGCAACTGTGCAAAGGAGTTCAGAGACTCTCTGAGTTTATGTTTTGAGCACCACAGTAGATATGTACACAAATGACTACATGAGGCGGAAACGAGTGTTCAGAAGAAGGCTGAGGCATCTCCAAAGAAGTGTCATTTGAAACAGGCCTAAAAGGATCAGCAGGAATCTCCCAGCTACTCGTGGTCATCCCACTCCTCCGTGAGCAAGGTTTCCTCCTGAGGGACCCAAGCTGCAGGAGAGGGGCCATCAAGGCCAGATTCCCAGACTGGCCCATGCCCCTTCCAAGATACTATGGCCCAGGTGCTCCCCCCCTCCACATCCTTCTCCCACTCCCCTCTTCTCCCGGCCCCACAAGGAAGCCCTTCCCTGGGTTCTGCAGGCACGGGTAGCCCTTAACTGAATCTGTAACTGCATATGTCTTTTTTTTTTCCCTCATTCCAGGGCACCCTTTCCTAAAGTGAGGTAAGAGTTCTGCCTGGCACTTGGAAAAGCCACAGCGGGCAGTGGGCAGACTGTCCCAGAGCAAGCTGTACGGTGGGGGGGACACCCTCTAGGTTCTTCACCCCCTTGTCCCCTAGGAGCTACTCAGATCACAGTAACCAGCCAGAGGCCAATCCAATTAGAATGGAGACTGGGCCATGCACTGAGATGGTTTATCACAGTAATTGAATGTTTACACCCTTATTATTCACCGTCCAGAGCAGTAGGAAAGAGAGGACCAGGAACTTTGCAACCTGGAAAGGTTTCTCTTTTCCCCCTCGGTCCTGAAGCCATCTAACTGCCTATGAAAAGGGTGCATTTCTCTGATTCTGTGCCACACCATCCCTGGGAGGTTCTGGAGCAGGATGGGTGGTTTTCTCTCCTCAGCCTGGGCCCCACAGGGGAGGAGAGGCTTCTCCTCAGAGCTGCAGTCCCTCCACCTTCACCAGGCCTCCCGTTGAGCTTCAATCCTGAAGCTGCAGGGACAAGGAGAGGCCAGCCCTCCAGGCTGCCATCAGGCCAGGCTCCCCCTGCTGGAGCAAGCCAGACCTCCCCTCCCCCCAGCCCCAACTGCCAACAGGGATCCCCTGCACACACGTGCCACGGAGGCCTCCATAGTCAGCCACGGCGAGCCAGCTCTCCTCCCATCCCACCGGCCCCAGAGCCAGGCTCCACAGGCTGGCACACTGATCCGATGTGGGCTGGTGGAAGCAGGAAGTAGCCACCAAAGTTGTGACCAACAAAGTTTTAAAAATGGGGCGAGTAACTTCCCCTTTCATCCTTCCAGCAGCTTGCTCTGGAGGCTGGGCTGGAGTACCCAGTGGCCTCCACTTTGGCAGGAGGCAGGTACTTCCTCCAGGTCTGCCTTCCTTGGGGCTGAGGCTTGAAAATTCCAGGGCGGCACCAGGCCCTTAGCCAGAGGCTTGGGTGGGAGCCCCCAAGTGGGGGCAACCTGGTGCACACGCTCCTGGAAGCCTGAGTTGGGAGGGTATGACTACCTCCACCAAGCCGGCCATGTGCAGGGTCCAGACAAAACCCGGGCCCCCGAGTTCCGGGCGGGCAACCACAAACACAGCACGAGGTGAGGCGCGCGGAGAGCTGGGCAGGCCGCAAAGGCGCGGGCGTGCGGGGGCGGCAGGCGAGGAGGATGACAGGTCTGAGGTGCGCCAGCAGCGCCGGGGTGCGCGGGGTGAGGCCGGCCCGCCCGCCCTAAGCGCTCCAGCTTAGGCCTCTGCTGCACTTGCCCCAGCTCCCCGCCGCCCCTGCACCTCTGTCCCCCCAAACTCCCGGCGCGGGCACCGTTTCCCTGTCCACTCTGCCGTGCACACTGGCAGGACCTGGGCCAGGGGCTCCCGCGCCAAGTTCCCGCAGCTCGCGCGAGCCCCTCCCGACGCCTCCGGGGCCTGGGCTCGGTCACGCAAGCCGGCCCCCCCAGACACCACGTTTCTCTCCCGCGGAGGAGCAGCCGTATTTCCGAGTCGCCGCCGCCGCCGCCGCCGCCAGCGCGGCGGGCCAGGCGGTTCGGGAGGGTTTTCCTGCCGGGGCCGCGCCCGGGTGGGCGGGGGCCGCGCGCGAGCTGCGTAGCTGCACAAACACCGCGGGCTGGCGCGGCACACGCAGCTGCGGGCCGGCGGTGCGGGCCGCGGAGCGGCGAACGCACGTACACACGCACACCCCGCCCTGACCGCCCAGGCCGCAGAAGTTGACGCGCCGCGCCCCCCGCAGCCCCGCGCCCCCGCTCCCGGCCGCGCCTGCAGAGCTGCAGCCCGCGCGCCCCGCCGCCACCGCCTGCGCGCAGCCCGGGGTCCCTGGGCCGCCGCCGCCAGGGCGGGCTGCGCCTCGCCGCGTGCAGGCCTCGGCCGCCGGCCGGGCAACGCCACTTACCCCGCTCCTGCCCGAGCTCCAACATCGGCTGTCCCCCTTCCGCCGCGGGCCGCCGCCTTCGGTCGCCTCCCAGGCTCCGGCCGCCTGCACGCACTCCCGGATTTTAAAAACAAACAGGCGCCTCCGCCTCCCCGCGGCGCTCGCAGGGCTTCCGCCAGCCCGCGCCTCCCAAGGCTGGGAAGTTTGCTGGCGGGGCCCGGGCGGGACGCGCGGGCTGTCACCCCTCGCTTGCGGCGCAGGAGCCTCCGCGCACCCCGCGCCCGCGGTGTCTGCCTCGCGATCGCTCTCCCTCCCTCCGTGTCACCCCCAGTCCTGCGATGCAGTGTCAGGATTGCACTGCTCTGACTCATCGGTTGAGCTCACAGCTTGAAAAAAAGAGAGAGAGGGCGAGAGGCAACAGCGAAGGAGGAGGACTCTCTGGCGTGCTACAAAGGATTGCACAACTCCGGGCTGGGAGCGCGGAGCGCCCAGCGGCCGCCGGCGCGCGCGGCACGGCGGCGAGCAGGAACCAGCTCCACCACTTCATCAGCACAACTGTCTTGGGTCGGCCTCACAGCCGGCAGGCCTGGCGCCGCCCACTTCCTGCGACCAAATAAGGCCGGAGAAGGCGTCCTTAAACCTCGGGCGGCTGTCCGGGCTGGGGATTTCCAGCAGACCTCGCCTCCACTCTAGTGGGTCGCCCTCCTCCCTCAGCCCAGGCCGGCGCCCCCGATGGCCACGCGGCTCGTTCCTTTCACACCAAGGTCAGAAGGAGACGGTGACGAAATGCTTGGAAACCCATCGGGCCTGCCAGGAAAGTGTGTATGTGATGTTGGGGAGGACACAAGTCGCTTTCTTCCACAAAGAGAACTCTGGTTTTGGATACGGTAAATCATGCACAGTCCTCTCTAAGGCACTTTATTAAAGTTTCTCCAAGTTTCACTTTAGGCTCACCAGCATCCTGGTGGTGTAAAGTTTATTGAGAAACGTCCCAGCCCCTATAAAGGACCCAGTTACTGAGGTGATGAAAAGCTCCTGGGTTTCATTATAGCAACTGAAGGCAGTTGGGGCAGCTTTTCACTGCATGCCCACTTCCCCCC